GCATAGGTACACACATGGCAGTGTGATTTGCTGTCTTCCTCCCCTTCACCTATATCTGGCATTTCTCCCAGATATATAAATGAAAATATAAATAAAATATATTTTCATTTATTATTCTTTGAAAAATAGTATTACTAACTGCTAACTGACCACCAGTGCTCTAGCTTGGAAAACTAATACATTCATTTAGTATGTACAAAATTACAGGTTGTGTTAAAATGTACAAAATTACAGGTTGTGTTAAAATTCAAGATGTGAAAATTGAGGAAAGCTTCTATGCTTTTTCATACTGTATATGTCATTTCAGAAATTCTGAAAGTACATGCTTCTCTCTAGCCCTTTCACTTGCCATAAAGATCTCAACATAAAATGAGGGTCAAGGAAAGTATTCTGTTACAGTGTCCCTCTGAAAACGGTCAAACTCATTATTTTTGGTCTGGTTTTGATATATAGAAATAAAATACATATGTATACAGATTTTATGCAACCATATTTACATATATGACATTTTTTCTTTGAAAGTAATGTTTTAAAATTGTAAACAGAATGTGTTAACTAGATAAATGTTGGAAACCACAAAAGTATTGTCATCTGTAATTCCACCAGCCAGAGGAAAACCAACGTTAACACTCTTGTTTCTTTCCTGTATTTAAAATATATAGTTGTTAATTACTACCATATAGTTTTATGTCTTATTTTTGTCACCGAGTAGTTTATAATGACCATTTTTTCATGTTACTGAATAGTTTTGAAAACCTGTTTTTAACATTTGCATAGTATTCCAACATATAGCTATACCAAATTTTATGAATCCCCTTATTTTTAAACATTTAGATTGTTCCCCAATTTCTACCATTATGTAAAGATATTTTTAGAATCCATACTTGTCAACTAATAGTCAAAACACTATTGTTGGTTCTCTCTTCTTCTCGTTCCTTTGTGGGGGCAGGGGGAGCTGTTATTCCTTCTTCTCATGTACTCCAGCCTATACATGGCTTTCTCTCAACATGAAAACTCCACTCTGGACAATGTTACACAGCCTGTCCTTTCTCCTTTCTAAAACAGTATCATCCCTGAGTGAGGTCCATATTTCTGCAGCTCTCCTGCAGCAAAATAATGTGAATTAAAGCCAATTCATGCCTGTATAAGGTCTGGATAGTGTATATTTTAGCTTTAGCCAAAGCTGAAGTACAGGAGATTAAAACCCCACCAGCAATCATTTCTGTTAGCTATATTGAAAATATGACTTAGCAGTACATACATAGAGAGAGTGTTAACTATGACTTAGCTGATTTTGCCATGATTCTGAATGTGCTATTGTATAAATTGTTATTACATCGAAACATCAGTATAAATATACAACTAGGAAAAGTAAAATTTAAGGTTTTAACTAGTAAATTCACTGAAAAACCATAAAATCTGCTGTCTAGTTTTTGACTTTTTATAGTGTTATTTTGATAACTGTCACATTATGTATTAGCTTTGATACTTCTCCACTCATGCAGTAAAGTACAGAAATCAGGGAAGTGACACAGTGCTTTAAAATTATTCTAACTAGCCTGGCACTGTGGCACACACTTCTAGTCCTCACTACTCAGGAAGCTGAGGCAGGATAGCTTGAACCCAGAGAGTCAAGGCTGCAGTGAGCTATGATCACATCTCTGCACTCCAGCCTGGGCGACAGAACAAGACTTCATCTCAAAAAAAATGAATAAATAAAATAATAAATAAAATTACTCTAAAAAATCTCGAGTGAGTTAAAAAATCTTTTCAATTTAATAGCTTGTTTGAGAGAAGAGTATAACCTCTGTTATGCCTTGGTAAAAAGTAAACATAATTTTAAAAACTAATTTCAAGTGTCTATGAAGCACTTGAGCCTCTACAATATCAACTTGAAATCTGAAGAAATACTCATGTTAAGAATTATTTCTATTAGTAGCTCTGGACACTATAGTCATAGATGGGAGAAGTTTAGTAAAGAAAGGAAACTTCTGAGTTGATACAATCCACCTTGCATTTTACAGATGAGGAACGTGAAGCGCAGGTATATTAAATATCTTTACTGCTCAGAGCAGTGTACTTATTATTTTTTAAGAAATGGAGGGGCTTTAATACTATTATGGCCTACTGCCTGCCGGTAGATAAAAGGTTTTAGGAAGAATATTTAGCCATTACTATTGGAAAAACCCAAGAAAGAGATCATATTTTGATCCTAAGTATATATTTTCCTCTCAAGATTCTTGTTTGAGGATCCATTCCACCTTTGTCTGTTACCACAGACATAAAAGGGAAGTTCCTTTACACAAATCAGTACTCATCCACAATAAAACCCGTGAAAGTTGTAGTTGGCAAAGCTACAGCACTGTAGCACTCCTGGGAGGAACATTTATTTACCTATATCCATATGTATGCATACCTTTAGCCTCTCAATCATGCTTCAGAAAAATCCTATTTGCATATATTACATTGTAAATGGTGACCACTGGAGTTGTGTATCATAGGGACGTTGCATGTATGTTTTATATATCAAATGAGGGTAGGCTAATTGCCATAACAGATCATCCCAAAAATGTCTAGTGACTCAAAGTTGTTTCTTCCTAAACAAGTTTACTACTTGTTCACTAGTTTCCAAGGTCTTTCTGTACCTAAGCATTTAGGGCCTAACTTCCAAGGTTTCCTAAAAGGGGTCAGTCTGTTGGGAGTTTTTTAGGGATAGAAGCTTAAAGTAGTGGATGTCACTTCCATTCTCATCCCACTAGCTAGTGCTTAGTAACATACCCACATCTAACTGCAAGGGAGGCTAGGAAATGAAATTTATCTGTATGGCCATGAAGTGAGAACATGGATTTTGATGTCGAGCTGGCTATCATTGCTTACTTGTGTGCCCCCCTCCCTCACAAATTCTTAAGTGGTTACCAAAAAATAAATTAGCTGACACAATTATGCTTCAAATAGAAAAAGTTAATAGTGAAAAAAAGGAACTTTTATTTAAGAACTAGCCTCTATCCTTTCCCTCCTTTAGGCAGAATTGTTAATTAATGCATACCAATAGTCAACTAGCAACTGAAATCTCAAAATGAGGAAAAAGCAAATTTTTATAAGCATTACCTTTACATATATATTTAGATGGAGCAGAATTGTTAATTAATGCATACCAGTAGTCAACTAGCAACTGAAATCTCAAAATAAGGAAAAGGCAATTTTTCACAAGCATTACCTTTACATATATATTTAGATGGAGTTTGGGTTGGTTTTCTTATTCCATCAACTACTCAGATTCAGAACTCAGACTTATATCTCCTTGCTTGTTTTAGGGGCTACCCTATTATTAAATGATGTTTGAAAAATATTCCACTTTTTACAACAAAGATAGCAGTTCCACAAATGAAAATAGCAGTAAGCTGGGTCTATTTGTTTCCTTTGGATAAGCTGTTATAATCAAACTGTACTCAACTATTCAGTTTTTAATAGAAGCACTGCATGGTTGCACTTCTGAAATCAAAACAGGAAGTATGCTATATAAATGTCAGTAAAACTAAAACTCAGTTCTATGTTTTGATGTTTCTCTTCCCCCTATATTTTCATGTTAATGTCTGATTTTTTTGTGTACTTAGAATGACTTCATAAAGGCAAACAGTAATCTTACCTGATTAGTTTTCTTTGACAGTCTCACAGTTTTAGGTTGAGCATGAGGGGCACAGGGAAAATCTGTGAAATAACCTAATATTATAACTTTCATGGAGGGAATGAGGCAACAAACTGCTGTTAATTTGGCATCATTAGAAATTGCTTTTATGTGCAGGCTGCACAACTTTATTATTGCCAGAATACAATATGAATAGAGAAAGAGGCCAGAGTCTTTTAATTTAACTATTTGAAAATCTACTAGAGAAAAAACTGTTGGACTTTGTACAGTCTTATTTTGACACCTCAGAAATTCCTTGAATGTGTTCCACTCCCTTAATTATTTCATGAGACAACTAAACAGTGGCTTAAATACTGTGAAAATCCAAGATATCCCTGCTTGTTTTCTGTGAAGAATAAACTAGGAGTTTTCTTATAGTTAACTATTAATATTTCCAATATAACACCATTCCACAGAAATTTCTATAGAAACTCCAAGAAAAGATTCAAACTGACCAGTCCAGAAGTTTTGCATTACTTCAGATATTTCTGGAGAAATGTTACCAACATACAGGTGTCTCTGTAGCTTTAAAATGTTTTTCTTTAGGAAACAGTTTCTCGTCTTAGTTTGTACCTAAATTGAACACTGAAGAAACAATTTACAAAGTCACATACTATAGGAGTGAATAACAAAAAATAGGGCCTGAGTATCTAAACTCCCTTGAAAGACCATATTTACGCAGAAGATATGGCTTAAAAGACAAAATGTACCCTGCTTATTTACTGAGTGTCTTTTCTTTTTTTCTTTTTTTGCAGCACACAAGGCACTGTTGAGTGGCACGCATACAATATATATAACATTTAAGGCATTATCTTTTGATTGAAAATAGAAGAGATTTGGGTATATGTGAAAAGTAATATAAATAAGGTTATGTTAATAAAGTACAAACTACATAATTGCTTAGGAATGTGGAAAATGGCATGATTTAAATCTAGATTGATATTGGATAGAAGTTTGCTGGAATACGCAAATCTTTTTAAGACAGAGTTTTGCTCTTTTGCCTAGGCTGGAGTGAAGTGGCATGTGAAGTGAGGCAATCTCAGCTCACTGCAACCTCCACCCCTGGGGCTCAAGCGATTCTCCTGCTTTAGCCTCCCACGTAGCTGGAATTACAGGCGACGGCCACCACACCCAGCTAGTTTTTGTACTTTTAGTAGAGACGGGTTTTCGCCATGTTGGCTAGGCTAGTAGTCTCAAACTCCTGACCTCAGGTGATCCACCCGCCTCTGCCTCCCGCCTGGCTGGCAAATCTTATATAGAATTTTTTTTAAGGAGTGGTGGATTTGGATTGCCAGAGAGAAAAGATAACCACTCATTCATTCACCAAAGGTTTATTGAGTGCTTACTGTGTGCCAGGCATTGTTCTAGAGACACAGCAGCAAACAAAACTCTTATAGAACAGGAACAGGCAGGTCATCTCCCAGGCATAACACCGATAGGAAAACAGAATACAAATAGGAGAGCAGAAAGAGATGAAATACAAAGGGAAAGGGCTGGTATTTGGGCTTATATTAATATTAAAAGGTGTTACATGCTAGATGTTTCTAAATGGGAGAAACATGCTGGAAAGATACTTGGCATGAATGAACTTATGTCCCTATGTTCGGAACAGACTGCTTTCCTGTCTCTGTTGGTTGGCTCTTCTAGCCTCTTAGGAACCTTTATAATCACCAGTATGATCCAATATAAATACTGCACATATGAAGGTTCACAGTTGAGGAATTTGAAAGCAAAAAGGGAAAGAATGGCTGGCAAAGGCTTCAATCTTCTGTCTCTTTTTATATTCCCAATGGCTAGTAGAAAATACTATCATCAATCTCTTCCTTGCAACAACCTCTGATTTGATATTTGTCTGCATTGTGACTCAATTCCTGAAGGTTTGTTCTTCATTCCTTTCTGGTAGACTCACTGAAAAGAAAGGAAATTACATTTACATTTTCTTTTTCTAGTCAATCAGGTTTTTCTTATTCGCCCAGCAACACTTCTCTACGGAGAGTTTGATGAAAAGTATTTTATGTTTTATGTAGGCTAGTGGGGAATAGGTATGGTAGGATGGGAGGCTAGGGGAAATATCAAGAGGCTATGTAGTACAAGCTTGACATTTAATAGCTTGGATTAAATAGGCAGTTTTTAAAACTAAAAGAAACATATATGCAGTATTTTACAAATAAGTAACTGTAAGAAGTAACAAGCTTAGCAATCATTTACCTATAGGGAAGAAATAAAATAAGGAAATGAACCTAAGATTGTAAACTTTAAGGTCCAAAAACTTGTGTTGTCACCAATAACAGCCAAGAAATTTGGAAGAAATACCTTGAAGAAAAAAAGTAAACTTAATGTCAGATCTAAGTGGGATATTACTAGAAGACAGAGGACAAGATTTCTTGATAAACTATCTGGCCTGAATGTACATGTGAAAGTTGTTATAAAGAAATTGAGTCCAGGTTCACGGCTCATGCCTATAATCCCAGCACTTTGGGAGGTCTTGAGCCTAAGAGTTCGAGACCAGCCTGGGCACATGGCAAGACCCCATCTCTACAAAAAATTTTAAACAGCCAGGCATGGTGGCATGCCCCTGTAGTCCCAGTTACTCCAGAGGCTTAGGCAGGAGGATCACCTGAGCCCAGGAGTTGGAGGCTGAAGTAAGCCTGCACTCCAGCCTGGGCGACACAGCAAGACCCTGTTTCATTAAAATAAATAAATAAATAAATAAAAGAAAAATTGATTGACACTCTAAAGACTAATGAGGAAATGGAATGAAGAACAAATGGTTATATATGAACTTTGGTTGCAAGATAAGTTATCAATTTCTGACCAAAAAAAATCTGAGTAACATACTGTATGATTCCACATATATACAACTCCGGAAAATGCAAACTGGTCTATAGTGACAAAAAGCAGGCCAGTGGTTTCCTGGGGAGATTATAAGAGAAGAGAAGGATTATAAAGAGGCACTGTTAGGAATGATGGCTATCATCAGTTGTATTTCTTCCTTTCTAATTTGAATGTGGTTTATTTCTTTTTCTTACCTGATTGCCCTGGTCAGAACCTCTGATATTGAATGAAAGTGGTCAGAGCAGACATCTTTGTATTATTCTTTATCTTAGGGGGAAAGGGAAAGCATGGTGTCTTTCATCATTATGCATAAGCCTAGCTGTAGGATTTTTATAGATATCCTTTATCTGGTTGAGGAAGTATCCTCCTATTCCTAGTTTGCTAAGTTTTTTTTTTTTTTTTTAATCAGGAACAAATATAGGATTTTGTCAGAATTTTTTGTGTGTCTATTGAGATGATCAGATTTTCTTTTTTAGCTTAATATGGTGACTTACAATGATTAATTTTTTAATTTAAAGCAATGACATATTTTTGGGATAAACCATATCCAGTAATATTAACTTTCTCATATTTTGTTGGATTTGATTTAATAAAGTTTAGTTTAGAATTATTACATCCATAATCAGGAGGGAAACTGGCCTATAGTTTTCTTTTCTTGTAATGGCTTGTATAGTTTAGGTATGAGGGTAATGCTGGCCCCAAAAAATAAATTGGGAAGTATTCCTTCCTTTTCAGTTTTCTGGAAGATTTGTGTATAATTGGTATAAACAGTGTTATCCCTAAATGTTTGGAAGAACTCACCAGTGTTTTCTCTGTGAGAATATTTTTAACTACTAATTTTTAAAAAATAGATATATAGCTATGGAGGTTATCTATTTCTTTTTTTCTTTTTCCTTTTTTTTTTTTGAGACAAGGTCTCACTCTGCTCATCAGGGCTCAATTTTGCGAGCTCAAGTGATCCTCCTACCTTAGCCCCCTAGGTAACTGGGACTAGTCATGAGCTACCACATCCAGTTTTTTTTTTTTTTGTTTTTTTTTTTTGTATTTTTAGTAGAGATGGGTGTTTTGTCACATCGCCCAGGCTGGTCTCCAACTCCTGGACTTAAGTGATCCGCCCACCTCAGACTTCCAAAGTGCTGGAATTACAGGCATGAGCCACTGCACCTGGCCTCTATTTCTTTTTGTGTGAGCTTTGGCAGTCCCCCCGCCTCCCAAGATGGAGTCTCACTCTGTCACCCAGGCTGGAGTGCAGTGGCGAGATCTTGGCTCACTGCAACCTCTGCCTTCCAGGTTCAAGTGCTTCTCCTGCAGGCCTCAGCATCTCAAGAAGCTGGGACCACAGGCATGTGCCACCACCCCCAGCTAATTTTTTGTGTTTTCAGTGGAGATGGGGTTTCACGTGTTAGCCAGGCTAGTCTCGATCTTCTCACCTCATGATCTGCCCACCTCAGCCTCCCAAAGTGCTGGGATTACAGGTGTGAGCCACCGCAACCAGCCGCTTTAGTAGTTTATGTCTTTCAAGGAATTTGACCATTTCATCTAAGTTGTGAATTTTATTTGCTTAAGGCTTTTCATAATATTCCCTTGTTATCCTTTAAGTATCTGTAGAATTTGTCATCTTTCACCTCTCATTCCTGATATTGCTAATATGTGTCTTCTTTTTTTTTTTTTTTTCCCTGATCAGCCTGGCAAAAGGTTTATCAATTTTAATTATTTCAAAGAACCACGGTTTTTTTCATTAATATTCTCAATTGATTTTGTTTTCCATTTCATTGATTTGTACTTTGATCTTTATTTTCTTTTGTGTTTAATTTGTTATTTTCCAATTTCTTAAGGTGGAAGCTCATTGACTTGAGACCTTTTATATTTTCAAATATAAGCATTTTGCTTATGTCTTCCTACATACTGCTTTAGTGACATGCCACAAAATTTGATATGCTTTGTTTTTATTTTCATTCAGCTCAAAATGCTTTCTAATTTTACTGCATTCCTATTTTAATCAATGGGTTGTTAGAAGGTTATTTAGTAGCATGTTATTTTGTTTCCAAACATCTGGAGATTTTCCAGACAGCTTTCTGTTATTGATTTCTAATTTTAATTCTACTGTAGTTAGAAGACATAATCTGCATGATCTGCGTCCTTTAAAATTTGCCGAGACATGTTTTATGGCCTAGAACAGGGGCCAGCAAACTTCCATAAAGGGTCAGACAGTAAATGTTTTAAACTCTGTGGGCCACATATGGTCTCTGTCACATATTTTCTTTCTTTCTTTTTAAATAAATCTTTCAAAATGTGAAAACCATTCTTAGTTCATGGGCTATACGAAAACAGACTACAATTTGGCCTCAGGGCCATAGCTTGCTAACCTCTGTCCTAGATATGATCTATCTGGGTAAGTATACTTTAAAGAAAATATATACTCTATTACAGGTTGAGTATACCTTATCCAAAATGCTTAGGACCAGAAACTTTTCACATTTCAAAGTTTTTTGGATTTTTCTGAATATTTGTATTTACATAATGAGATATCCTGGGAGTAGGATCCAAGATATTGGGTCATGTTGGTGCTAAAAAAATTTTGGATTTTGGAGCATTTTGTATTTCAGATTAGGGATGCTCAACCTGTACTGTTTGGTTACAGTGTTGCTTGAGTTTATTATATCTTTGTAAGTTTCTACTTGTTTTCCGGTTATTTAAAGAGGGGTACTGAAATCTCTGACTATAACTATGGATTTGTCTGTTTCTTCTTGTACTTCTGTCAGTTTTTGATTCACATATTTTGAAGCTTTATTATTTGAGACAAAACCATGTGGGATTATTATATCCTTCTGATTAACTAGCCCTTTTATTGTTATAAAATGGCCTTCTTTATTCCTGGTAATATTATTTGCTCTGAAATTGACTTTATTTCATGTTAATATAGCCACACCAATTTTCTTTTGACTAATGCCACCATTAGTACTATGTATCTTTTTCTATTCTTTTACTTTTTTTTTCTTTTTGAGCCAGAATCTCACTCTGCTGTCCAGGCTGCAGTGCGGTGGCATGATCACCACTCACTACAGCCTTGACCTCCCAGGCTCAAGCTATCCTCCCACCTGAGCCTCCCAAGTGGCTGAGACTACAGGCATGTACCACCATACTTGGCTAATTTTTTGTGGAGACAAGATCTCACCATATTGCCCAGGCTGGTCTCAGACTTATGGGGTCAAGCAATCCTCCTGCCTTGACCTCCCAAAGTGCTGAGATTACAGGCATGAGCCACTGCACTTGGTCATCCTTTTACTCTTAATGTTCTTGTGTCTTTTTATGTAAAATGTGTGTGTGTGTGTGTGTGTGTGTGTGTGTGTGTTTTGTTTTTCGAGATGGAATCTCATTTTGTCTCTAGGCTGGAGTGCAGTGGTATGATTTCTGCTTACTGCAACCTCCGCCTCCTGCATTCACGTGATTCTCCTGCCTCAACCTACTGAGTAGCTGGGATTACAGGCACCCACCACCACACCTGGCTAATTTCTGTATTGTTAGTAGAGACGAAGTTTCACCATTTTGGTCAGGCTGGTCTTGAACTCCTGACCTCAGGTGATCGACCTGCCTTGACCTCCCAAAGTGCTGGGATTAAAGGCATGAGCCACCATCCCTGGCCTAAAATATGTTTCTTATTGATAGTATGTAGTTGGATTTTGTTTATTTTCTTTTCCCCCAGCAGCCAACATTTTTTGTTTTGTTTTGAGACAGGTCTCACTCTGTCTCCCACTATGGAGTGCAATGGCACGATAATGGCTCACTGCAGCCTTGACTTTCTGGGCTCAAACAATCCTCCTGCCTCGGCCTTCCAAGAAGCTGAGACTACAGGCATGTGCCACCACACCTAGCTAATTCTTTTTTGAATTGTTTTTTAGAGATGGAGTTTCACTTGTTGCCCAGGCTGGTCTTGAACTCCTAGGCTCAAATGATCTGCCCACTGGATTACAGGCATGAGCCACTGAGCCCAGGCCAAAATATTTTTAATAAGAGTAGAGGATCCAGGTTAGTTTTTATAGCCTCGGCTGGCCCATTAGCCTTTGATATGCTTG